GCCCCTCGAGCGTCATCCGAGACTGTGCGGTGCTCGCCTCCTGCCCCGTCGCCGCGCATGGTGTCACCATTTGCAGGTCTCGAGGCCCCTCGAGCATCATCCGAGATTGTGCGGTGCTCGCCTCCTGCCCCGTCGCCGGGCACGGTGTCACCATTTGCAGGTCTCGAGGCCCCTCCGCCGCTCCGTGCATCAGCGCCACCCTCATCGTGACAATGTCTTGCTCCCTCGTCAGGCCCTCTGTCAGCGTCTGTCCGAGTCGAGCGGGGTCATGGCCGATCTCCACCATCACCACGATCATCGTCTTCGGCGCCATCGTCGTCATCTACGTCAGGGTGACGGTCGTCGATATCGCTGTCGTCATCTTGTGCAGTCCGGCCAGTCCCGAAGAAATCCTCATCGTCACTGGACGAGCTCTCGTACAGAAAGTCTCCCTCGTCCCATCGCTGTCGTGGCTTGCATACAAGCTCGGCCACCGTCGTTTGACGACTCGTGACACTCCTCCCGCCAGGACCTCCATGGCCACCTCGCCCACGACTGGCCCGACGACCACCCCCGCAACCGCCGCCACGACACCTCCTCCTCTCGGATTCCCTCAATCGACGAGTGGCTCCCATGCGGGACACGGCGCTCATCCTCTCTCTCGCCTGCGTCAACTCCTCCTCGTGACCGTCACACAGGCTCCTCGGTCTGCCACAAGCTGCTGGTCGGTGGRCACCTCCTCCTCCACCTGCTGCTAGTAGTGCACCCAACTCCCATACGGATGTGGCCTGTCATTGGGAGCATCATCCGACATAGCATGCCTGTCGAGGAGCCGAAGGTTCCAATGGCATCGCACCAGCTTCTCGGCCCGTGCCACCTCCAATCTGTTATGAGATTTGGAGTGAATGAAACTCCAACGGGACCAAACTCTCTCTCAAGGCGATGCAGTCACCCACACACGCAGTATCCTGCCAGCGAAGAAGGCCGTGTGCGGTCGGCAAACTGAAACTTGTCAATGGCTCCTCGCCGCCCGGTCCATGGCCACGTCGTCGAACGGCGGCTCCCTAGAATGAAACTTGTCAATGGCAGTGAGGACCTCGTTGTGCTGATCCGAATGCTCCGGGTACCCAAACTGAATCAGAGCGAGTTTCAAACCGTGCTGCATCTCCTCGTCGTCTGGCATCGTGCGGTCTCGAAACTCGGGGTCCAACATTATGGCAGCAACATGAGCAGGCGACTTGAACATGGTGCGGCGTCTGTCAAACACTTCAAGCAGCACGTCCTGCTCGTCCTTCTCAAAAGCGGCACATGCAGACAAACAACGCACGATCATCTCGTCGTACTGATGCAAAATCTTGCAAATCTGCCTCGTGTCGCTGTCCACCATCTGCAACATGTCCATGATGGGATCCAACAACTTGCACAACGCTCTCATATCCTTCCACCACTGAGTACAACCAACACATGCTGTGACCTCCGCGACGGCGTCTCGAATCTTCTTCGTTGACCAAACAGTGTCCTTCCATCGATTATCAACGACCACCTGCATAAGATGCGATTGCAGCTGAAGAAGTCGTCGCATCATAATCACATGCGTACCGAAGCGAGTCTCGGCGGGAAGCAGCAGAGCCATCGTCGTGAAAGCTTGCAAAACTTCGCGAGTGTGACTATGACGCTTGAAAAACTTTGTGACCAAATGCGCCTGAGCAATGCGGGTCGCCACCTAGTCAATGCCGCCGATGTCCTCAAGGATGAGGTCCATGACGTGCGCCACACAAGGAATCCAGAAGATGTGCTTGACACTCTCATCCTTCTGGAACACCTCCATCGCAGAAACGTTCGAACTGCCAGAGTCTGTGACGAAAGAAGTGATGTCAGCGAGCTTGATGTCAAGGGACTTCAACCTCCGCAGCCAAGCCTGCGCCAGAGCAGTGGCATCCTTCTTTCCTCGCATAACATCTGTCGTGACGTATGTGGCGCCCCGTGTAGTCCCGACGAGATAGTTGCATAACGTTTGGCCCCGAATGTTGGTCCAACTGTCTGTCATAATCGTGCAACCGTAGGTTGCTGAAGTAGCGAGGACAGGTTTCACACACTTTTGGACTTCCACATCAAGCTCATCCAAAAGTGTGGTACGGCTCCACTCATCCAAAAGTGTGGTACGGACATCAAGCACCTCCAATTGCTAATGGATCCGGTTGCGAATCGCGTCCGGATGCATCCCTCTTTTCTCCCCTTACCTCCTTCGCTCAGTGCCAACGTCGTTGCTTCGCCTCACTGTGACGGTCCTAGCGCTCGTCGCCTTCACTACACTACTTCAGCGCCCGTCCTGCGCCTCCCCTTCCTGCTGCCCGTCACTCCCCTACGCCCGCTGCTGCCTAGCGCTGTCCAGCCGGACCAACCGCCTTGGTTTACACTCGTCACCCTCTACCTCTTTGCTATCCTGAGGGAAACTTCGGAGGAATCCCACTGCGGCTCATAGAGCGAGGGGACCAAAGGGGAGGAACGGTGACTGGCTCATCGAAGAAGCCCGGTGCTGATGCTACCGGCTGACCCTCTGGCCGATATCGCCCACCTGCTGCCGCAGATATCGCACCTGCTGGTGGGCGCAGCTCCCACATGTCCCTCCTCGTTGGAGGCTTAAGCTCGGATGTGGCTGCTACGGGGTTCCCCGTAAATCTATAATGACAACAAAAACCACTTGAAAGACCGTCCTTTCCATATCCGACAGGTTGGGATTAAAGTATGAGCCTTTTAGTTAAAAAAATCACGTCTCACCTGTCGGCTCAATCAACCCCTCTATGGATGGCACCGCAACGCGCGACTCATGCACAACCGTTACAGTCGTATTGACTTTGCAGTAGGGGAGGGGGCGCGGTCTGCTGCCCAGCCTAAGCATGGGCCCAGGCGAGGCGGGCCACGGTACGGATCTTGGTGAAAAACCTTGGAGCCGAAGTGGAGAAGGGTTCCATGTCCACGGCTTGGCGTTTTGAACCACTGTACCCGGGCATAGAGGGGAGTCCCGCGGGCATTCTCACACCCACCCCTTTCACCATGGATTGCGAGGGGGTGGGGGGAGACGGACGGTGCCCCTGCAAAACATCCCTGCCACTCAAGTTTCTTCCGACTCGTGGGCTAATCACCCGCCGGTACGCATGCACATTGAACCCCTTGGTCCGTGTTTCAAGTCGGCGGAATGGATGATTCCCGCCAACATCCCAACCTCACCTGAACCCATAGGTCAATCAAAAAAGAGAAACGCGTGCTCAACGCCTTCGACCGACGATGACCTTCAGATCCAGTGTCCCGTCTAAGTCAAGAAACGTCGGAGTAAAATAATACCAACACAACAATAAATAATAAAAAAGTAGTTAGAACTTTTAATCGTCAGAATATGATGCCGAGGGAAAAAGAACCGTTAGTACCGTTCTGATGCTGCCGATGACAAAACCAAGGGAGATAGCCCCGTCGGTCCCTCAACCCTTTGGTCCCTTCGTGCTACTCTTGATATTCCCGCCTCGTCGCCGCTCGGTCTTGATTTCTAAACCTCTTTGATGAGAGTCCAACGCAGTAACCGATAATGCGAGGCCCAAGTCTTGGTCTAGCTCTGATGGACACCTAAAATAAACAAATGTTGCGCGACGCGCAGCCCTACCAAAACAATCTCAACTCACATGGTAGTCAATGTCGTCCCCCGCACGTACGCACAAGTTACCGACAAGTATACCAATCACGAGACATAAAATTTTTAATCCTAGTTTAATCAGAAAAACAATTTAGCCGGCGATCACGCCGACTCTTCAATCATCAAGTAAAAAAATAAAAATAAAAAAATGACGTGCGCCTTCAGTGCTGCGCGCCCACACACTATCTACTCTAGTCAACCATCCAGTCAACGTAAACCACAGATGCAGCCGCGCCTCGTGCGGTATACTTCAACTTTAAACTAAACCTATTTTCTGTTGCTTGCAAAAACCAAGGCGGATACCCTTGTAAGGGTATTCGCACCGACAATGTGCTAAGAACAGGGTACAACCAAAACGGCTAAGAAACCTACAAACCAGATTGTAACCTGTACCTCTAGCTTAGATCATACCCATATTATATGTGTCCTTCCATTTCTTAAATCTTCTACAAAAAGATGCAATGTAATGGAGACCCAAAAGGTTGGCAACTATTATAACCAAAACGTGGTCCAGACGTGGTCCGCCGAACGGGAGCACGAACATCCCTGCCTTCCACCGTCTCGGCTGCACCCCAACGGCTCCAAACGATCACCGTCCGCGTGAGGCCTCCGTCTGACGAATCGGCCGTCGCCGGACGGTGTCATGCGGTCTGCCGCACGGGGAGATCATAGACAACGGTCGAAAATTCGAATGTTTTTCCGCGCCGGCGTTGTGTTCGACAACGACAGTTTTATTTTGGAATATCGTCGTTTTCGACGGTTGTTGTAACGCCTTGCAGGTTGGAGCACAGATCTTCCCTTCTGTGAGTAGACGAGCGACGTTTTAGGTCATTTCACTTTGGCAGGGGTGATTTATTCACTTCAATCGTCGTTGGTTGTGCACCTGTTTAGTGTGTCGCTTCAGCGGGTTGACGAGTGATGTTTTAGGGCGTTCACTTCGGCAGGGGGGGGTTAATTGATTTCAATCGTCGTGTTTTGTGTTGTTATCATCGCAGCTTGCTATGAAAGAACTTTATTGCACTTGGAGTGCACCCTTTTTTTAATCATGCGTCCGCTATTTTCTCGACTTCGTTGGCATGAGTGAATGATGATTTCGACGTTTGCATGCACACATTTCATGTTTGTCTTTTTCTGATCTGATTGTTGTTCGTTTGGTTGGTTTCTGCAGTTTTTCCAATGACACCAACTACTGTGTTTGATTTTCGTTTTAACAATCGAAGTAAGACAATGCACACAGTGGCGATGAGCAGACAACGTTCACTGGCAAGAGCACTTGTTATAAAGATGCAATGGTACAGTTTATCTTCTTCCTGATTGTTCATCGCATTGAGATAACAATAGACAGAAGAACAAGTTGAACACATAATAACAATAGACAGAAGAACAACACATCACCCCTCGCCATCGCTACGCTCAATCGACGATTATTTTAATATCGCAAGGCAAAAACAAAATCGAGCACCATTTGTTCAAAAAAACATCATAATTTACCGCAAGGGCGACAAGTTTCAGCCTCTCCCGCATGATCCACCCTGCACTCTCTTCACCACGCCCGCCACTTGTCATAAAAAATGGCACACATGACACCCGCAGTGCGCAGTATACCCACCACACAATCGAAACGCCCATTGTTGGGCTGCGTGGACAACAGTCATGCACAACCACGCACTGCGACATTTACGAACTACAACTTGAACCTTGAACACAAACTACCAACCCCAAGGTGCGCACAAACACTCCATTTAAGGCGAGACGAAACAACGAATCTGCCCTCCTGCCAAAGCTCCAATGACTACACTTCCACGCGCTGTCGTCCACCATTTAAACACGACTCAATCGTGTTTTATTCGTTCCGCTATAGCATCCCGCAGGGCCAACGCTTCGTTTGTCGATGTAATCATCGAGACAGGCTGAAGGGGCTCTTCGATCCCCAGGTCCACACGTCGTCGCACACCATTCGCGTCGACCTCCCATAGCAGATTCTAGTCGAATGAAATTCTTGGGTAGATCAGTATGTTGTGCAGTATACAGACGACGGTGAACTGCTGCGGGAGCGTGTCCAAGTTCGTCTTGTGTGTCCGCAGAAACAACCGCCTCATGCCCTTCAGCCTGCTGAACGCCCTATCCACCGCTCCCCTCGCCACCTTCTGCTTGTTGTCAAACCGCTCCTCGTCGACGTGCTGATTGACGCCTCCATACCGGACGACCATCCATTCCGAAGGGGGGTAGCCATTCTTCACCAGGACGTAGTCGTTCGTCCGCACCCCGAACGGGAGTGTCACAGGGGGACCACGGAACAACGACCCCGACTCCGTGCTCAGCCACAAGCTGGACAACTGGAGCACCCTGATGTCATGGCAGCCACCCAGGTATCCCATGTGCATATCGAGCATACGCAAGTCCAGGTCGACGACAACATGTGCGACGATGGAGAAACGACGCTTCCTGTCATAGTAGTTTTCACTCGGGGCGTTCGCCGGCTTGTCCACGTAGATCTGAGTATAGTCAATGCAACCGTGGCAATTGGGGAACCCTTTATCATCGAACGCCCGCAGAACGACGAGTTTACAAACTCCAGCCAGCCAAACAATCTTCTCTCTATACACCCGGAGTAGCGCGAGAGTAACGTCGCGAACGACAACCAGGCCAGAAGCTCTGCCAATCCCGAAGTTGCACGTGCTGCTCTCGCACGTCTCCCCCGACGCCCACCTGTACAGTGCGTACGCCACAAGCTGGTCTGGCTGCAAAGGCTCTCTGTAGAACGTCACCCGCCGCTGAAGATGAGGCGCACATGCCTCCATGATTTCCCGGAACACTCGCGGCGATATGCGTAGCTTCTCCCGGAAGTAGTCATCTGTCACGTCGTCCCATTACCTGAGGTCTTCCCACGTGCCTCCAGTCCTGCGCTTCATCCACCACCTCGACGTCGCTCGAGGAATCACTCCGCAACCCAACGCGTAGCACAGCTGAACAACAGCCTCCGAGGTTGCCACATAGTTGGGGCCATCGTCTGGAGCTTGCAACAATGCCCTCCTTCTACGCCTGTGCAACTGCTCCTTCATTCATCCCAGCGCCCTCTCTTGCTGACATCGAGGAACAACGGTAGACATGACCACCGCCACGGCCTGCAGCTCAAGCGGCGTCAACACCGCACGTCCACCCTCTCCGCCGCCGTCCATATCCGTGATCTGGAGACGGACCTGTCGCTCCGATGCCGTGTGTGTCGTCCTTCCACACCCAAAGAAGAAGCCGAAGACGTCCTTCGAAAGCTGGCCCCTTTTCTCTGGATGCAGTCCTGCCGACGGAAATGTGTTTGACGGCGCAGTCAGCGTGGAAGAAGGTCGACGGCGATGGACGCACCCGACGATGCCTGCGAACTCACAACGGCTGGGGGACGGAAGGGACACCACCGCTGAGCCCGTTTCAGCAGTACGCCGTCTTCGCGCGGCCAACCACACGTCATCGACGTCATCACAGCCGTCATTCAAAATTCGAATTTCAAACGTCGACGCCCCCCGGGTTAAATTTTTTCTCGTCACCCGCCTTATGCCGTTTCCCGCCACACGTCGCTGGACCACGCCGCCTTTACACGGACAAAAGATGGTGGACCACGGACGACCGACCCCGCAGCCACTACTTTTCGTATGAAAACGGCTGCGGGCACTCCACAAGGAAACATCCTCGGGGGAGGTCCCCAAGGATGTCATTGAGTGGAACGACGCCGCCACAAGGAAATTCCCTTGTGGCTCAGGAGTGTCTAACGACGCCCACTATCCCAATGCTGTATATCCTTTTTTTTTAACTTTTAAGGACCACTCTATTGAGATGGTCTGTTTGATGACAAATTTAACCTCGGCCCTTACCAGAGTTGGGGCAATGACGCAGTTTGTGAGGGCAAACTGAACAACTTTTGCCTCAGGGTCACATCTAAATTCTTTACCATATTTAAAAGAGAAAATAAAGTTAAGAACAAGGCTACCAGCCGGGCCGCCTGGGTCCCGGGTGGCCAGCCCGTGCAAGGACCAGGGAAGGTCCCAGCCAAAAAAAAAAAAAAAAAAAAA